AAAATTGTTACCTCTAGTGAATGCTTCCGCTGCCCATTCGTCTGGCACAACCGGTAATATCATCTTTTCTTTCTAGAATCTGATCACGAACTCCAGTCTCTCCTTGTGCGATTCTGAATATGTCTGCCTTCCGGGCTTGGACCTTCTTGGCCCCGGTATGGCCTTAATGAAAGAATCTGCGAGCATTTCAAAAAAATATATTGAGTGCTCGGGTTGGAGTGAATACCATGTCAAGGCCCCTTTCATAAGGGTTTCTCTGAATTTTTTCAGCAGAACCAACTCAATCTCATGTTGAGCCAAGTCGTTTCCTTTCACCGCTGTTGTATAAGTTGTGATATGCTCCTGAGGATCTGAAGACCCATCGTACTTTGGTATGTCCGGTATCTTGAATAGTTTCAGAATCAATTCTGGTGTTGCGTTCGGCTTAAATGGCAACTGGGTGTACTTCTTCGATTCCGAGCCCTTCAACACTGGTGGTGCGCCCAGAAGCTGGTCCGTTAATCCATCCACTCGTTCATCTACCTCGTGAATCTAATGAGTTCGGTTTTGAAAGGATCATTACCATGTCGTTAATGGATCCGCTGTCGATACCCCGGCTCCGTCGAAACCGACCTCACCTCTCGGGATATTGACATCTCTTTGAGCCGTTTGATTTGTAGGAGTGTTGGAAGGAACTGCGCCTCTCCCATTTGCGTTGTTAGAAGCAACTGATAATGCCTGCTTCAATTCCATCATGACTTCGTCCTGTTTTGAGAGATTGCCCATAATGACTTTCTGTTGCTCTCTCAAGATCCTTACCGTTTCCTCAACGTGTTCATCCTCCGCATCATCGGGGGTTGGCTCCCGCACATGTAGGGTATATTGTCTGCCATGGACCGGAGTTGCCACATCCCCCTCGTTGCGGCTGTCACTGATTGAGTCCTTATGTTGAGGCAGATTTTCGTGTGCCTCAACGCTGTGTGCGATGTTGACATCGTTAGCTGCCATTTTCGATTTTTGCTGTGAAATAAAGAATCAAACGAGTTAGTAATAGATGCAAGGACCAACTCAATTCTGCAACTGTCTAAACTGTTTACCCGTAAAATAGTACAGTCGAATTTGTTACATGGTTTATAGACAAGCAAACTGATTTGATCCAAAAATGATAAATAAATTAGATTAAAAGCAAGACTTAGCATTAAAATCAAAGGGAATGGCAGGCGTGGCTCCGGGAGTGATGCTTCCGAGGACAGAACTGAGAGCAATATAAAACAGAAAGTAAAGTTGTATTATTTAGGTTGAGAATGTAATGTGGCATAAGTTTTGCCAAAGATTTTGTGTGTCACAATGGCTGTTGAGCCAACTATTTATAGCTAGACCTAGGGAAACAAGGTCCTAGGATCAAGCCTCTCTTAAATGACAATAAATGGAGCCATTGATGAATATGTAACGGCATGCCATGAATGCCAAAATTCTCTGTAACGACCGTCTATGTAATACGAGGGAATATTCTTCATTAAATGTCATCTGGTGACAAACATTCATCCCGGTCACATTGATTATGCTTCCTTCGAGGTCTATCCGGTGCCAACTGTAGTTGTTCCGGTCTTGGTTCTTACTCCATTCCTCTTCCGCCTGTCTCCGGTTCCACGTGTCACGCTATCATTCGATCATTTAATATAAACCAATTTCACCTCATGCACAGTGAAGTTTTTACCTTCCATAATGAGATTAACACAAACAAGATTTCCAACTTAGTTGTCTCCAAAACAGTTCAAACATTGAACATATATGAACTATGTTATTCCAACACACAAAAAGGCAATCGATGATAGAATATTCAAGTGAAAAAAGATCTCAAAGTTCCTTTAGATATCATGCTTTCCGTAGCACCGAGTTCATATATTTATATTTCTAGTTGGATTTTAGGAGTTTATCTTTATGTCGGGTGAAATTCAAAAATAGCCAGATTTACAAGTGTTAATTGAAAAATAATCACAGTTTCAAAGTAATTAAAATTTAGCCATTTTTCATGTAAAGATAAATGTGAACGAAAACACTGTTCAAAATCCAGAAAATATTCCAGCATAATATACTGGAATTCGAATTTTTTACATGTGAACTTCCAGCATAATATACTAGAGTTCCAGTATATTATGTTGGAACTCCAATATATTATGATGGAGTTCCAATATATTTATATTGCAATTCTATCATAATATACTGGAGTTCCAACATAATATATTGGTCCAGCATAATATGTTGGAAGTTCATACACAGGTACTCCAATCTCCAGTATATTATGCTGGAACTTTCCGTGTGCTGGAGTTCCAGTAGAATATGCTGAAAGTTCATACACATGTGCAACAATCTACAGTATATTATGCTAGAACTTTTCGTGTTGCAGCAAAATAATGACTATTTTTTAATGACTTTGCAAACGCTGACTATTTTTCAATTATCAATCCGAAAATTGACTAATCCGTGCTATTTTTACCTTTATGTTGGGTGGTTGAAGATCTTTACGTATAAATCAGTCCATGCTAGACTTTTCATTTTTTGGTAATATGCCATATGTGCTTCTAAAACGATCTTGGGATCTGTTAGGATTTGAAGTTCGCCTAAGAGAATGGTGAACCACTGGACCTTCATTGATTGGTATTACATTTTGGAGTACTACACTATTTATTTATATAGTCAAATTAATGATACACACAAATTTGTTTTTGAGTACCCATTTCTTTGCACCAACTTCATATTAAAAGTAGTTGAGCGCGATTTGAAAATTCTGGATCCATCACCGAACTTAGACCTACAACAATCATACTTAGTGGCCTGCACCGAACTATACTGGATCCACGATTTGAAATGTAATAATTATTTCACTTTATTTTTTTCTTTTTCGTGCATGTTTTTTACTTATCTATATTATATATAAAACTTATGTACCCTCCCTAATCAAGTTTTAACTTAATTACATGATCATATATAATTTACCAATTATATACAAATTAGTTTTAAATGAGTCTCCCTTAATTGTAGCCCATTAATTTAGTAAATCTCTCAATCACAGTACTTTTTTCCTCTTTCTCTCCTTGAAATCAACCCTCTTTCTACACCGATTCTACAAGCTTTTTTCTTTTAAAGCTCACAATTTTCTCTAACAATGGCGAAGAAAGGGAATAATTTTTTACAATCTGAATTTTGCCATGCTGGAGTTTGGATATTTTCTAGGCTTCCCCTTTTCTTGTTGGTGCTCCGATTGCAGGCTAGCAACAGGTGAATATTAATTATTTGGCTCGATTGTTCGAATTGAAATTGTCAATCAACAAATTTTAAAGGTGTTTGACTCTCCACCATTGACAGCCATTAAAAAAGCTTCGAAGCCTTGATTTCGAATTCGGATTTTTCATAAAATATTATTTGTTTGGATTTGGTGTTATTGCAAACGATTGAGAATATTCTATAGACTTTATATCTCAATTTTGAGGGTATTTGGTGAAGATTAGATTTGATTTGAATGGATTTTCAGATTGCAATTCGAATAAGAAGCTGAAGAACACACCACATAGAAAATATATACAAAATACATACAAAAGACATATTATATAAAATTTGTATGAAAATTGTATTTAAGTTGTATGATGTTGTAGTTATATTTAACTGGGTAAGAATGATGTATGAAAGTTGTAGATAAGTTATAAATAAGTTGAATACCGTATAATTAGTTGTATGAAATTTATTTTTAGTATGTATGTTGTTGTAGATATATCAAATTTTGTATTAACTTTGTATAAAATTTATTTTTAGTATGTATGTTGTTGTAGATATATCAAATTTTGTATTAACTTTGTATAAAATTTATTTTTAATTTGTATGTTGTTGTATAATACATTATTATTTTTTTAAAATAGGCAACTATAACAAAGAGAAAGAAGAGTTGCGTTAATTGTGGTTTAAAATAGTAACACACAACTAGAAGGAGTTTTATTTGGATGTAAGGAGAATTTGGACTTCGTTTCCTTCAGTTACGCTCTTTTCCAAGCTAAAAATCACCTAATTTAAGGCATTAATAATTGATTGTATATAAATTGTAAGAAAAACATGTTTAGGACAGGTAATATACAAAATTTGAATAATTTTAATAAATAAGTTTCAAATATTGTATAGGAAGGAAAAAATCTCTAACCGGCGGTAGAAATCGAGTGACCGTAGTGTTACGGGATTTAGGGTACCTAACCACTTTCCTCTCGTGCAACTGAAAAATCCTTAACGATGTTTTGGTTAACGGTCCAGCAGGAGCCATTAGTCTAAGCAAAGGGTTCGCCTCAAAAGAAGATGAAAGTTTTGCTTTAAAGTTAAAATCAAAATATGTGACCTACTTCGTCTTTGAAAATATTAAGTGGCGACTTTATTTCGTTAATTTAGGAGGACCAAAAAACAAAGTCTCACTCCACTGCATGGACTAGCTAGACGGACAAGAAAAAGAAATAAAAGATAAGATATTCAACCTCAAAAGTGAAGACAAATGAGGGGAAAAATAGAGAGAAATTTAAACCAGAAACAGAAATTATTGACGGAGGTCGATTGCTGGTTAGGAAATGAAATGGAAACATGCAACTAGAGTGAGTCAAAGGTGGAAAATAGATCCTACGAGTTGGAAAAACCAAAATACTAGTACCACAAAGTGCCAATATCTCCAATCTTTGATACCACATTTCATCCAACAGATGTGTCAACATGTTAAATCTTTAAATCTTCTTTGGAACTCATATAGGAAGAGTGACAAAGACATAGGGTTGATAAAAATGGACAAGGCAAAAAATAAGGTTGCCTAGCTCTCCAATCCAGGGGAAAGGAACATGGGGAGTACAAGGTGGAGTCCAACTGGATAAGCAAATCCAAGCTGAACATATAAAAGAAAACAATAATATGGTAAACAAAATTCCTAAATCATCTTACTACAGAACCAGGTATTTCTCAAACAGGTTATTATCAAATTGCTAGAGAACACAGCTGTATGAACAAATTCATCTTAAAGTGCAGAGAATATAGGTAATAGATAGACTTTCTTCACTTCCATTTGTAGCAAAAGTTCAACAAAGGCCTCTAATGACAATGTAAACAAAATTTAAACTAACAAGCGAAATCTGCAGGTGACACCAACAAACTAATCCTGTCTTTCAGTTTCAGAAAAGCAGATAGAACAAACAACACCTCAGAAACAGACTAAGATCAATAACCTCCCTTCAAATCATTGACCACATCATATGGTATGGGAGTAACTGTCTCCAATGTAGCACCTTCAACCATGAAACCTGGTTTGGGTCCCACAGGTTGTCTTTTTGTGCTGACAACTTCTCCTCTAGCTTTGGCCTCGGCCTTTAGTTGATCATTCTTCTTCATCCTCTCTTTGACTTCTTCGGTGCATCGTGAAAGCTGAACATGCTCAATCCTCACATGAATCCTCTTTCTTAAGATTTTGTTACGAACCTGAGATACAGAACAAAAAAAAGAGGAATGAGATTGACATACAGCACAAAAGTTCATGAAAACCAACGGAACACGGAAACCAAACACTCAAAGAGGAACTTCAACAACAAACTTTCACATTAAGGATGGGAAAAACAGTTAAAAACGCTAACAGAAGACAAAAAAGAGATGCTGCTTAGTAATCCAACATATAATTAGAATGTCCTTTGATAATTCAATTAGTATTCTACTATTGCACACAATTTAAGGGGGATGACAGCAGTATTTTCAGGAACTAATGATGCATATGTCATTGAGAATTTGAGATGCATATTTATCCTGAAAATGTGTTATTATTAAGCATTTGAACAGCAAGAAAGAATAGAGAAAGCCTAATAAGCATGAAAACCAGTATCTTTAATCTCGTCCATGCAGGAAGTTATATAAACCACAAATGAAGTCAAGCTTCAATAATACAACAAAGACAGACTTGTTTAGAAATTATTATTCCCCAGCTTCCAAAATGCCATCCCATTCTTTTCTTTGATTTTTGCAGATGTAACTGAGGCTTACATTAAGCCAGTATGCTCTCACTCAGCTCCATTTAGCTAAATTTACCTTAATAAGTCGAAACTCCCTCTAACAAATTGTTAGTCTGACCCTGAACCGCTCTAAGTCAAGGAACAAATGAAGACAACCCATTTATTCATGACAAATATTTACAACATCAAAATTTTACCTTTCAGGTATTGCCTTCCAAGAAGAAAGGACCTGAGTTTTATACCTATTGCGAGGACGAGCGTTTGGTGACAGTAAATCACAAATTAGAGGCATCTAAACAAAACACCATTTTCATGTACTGGAAGGGAAAGGTTGGGGATATAGAAGCAGTTCATGGACAGAAGAACCCCAGCCAAAAGATAGAAGTTGTCGCTAGGGGCTAAAGGGAGGCAAGGCGGTTCAGAACAAACTTTTTGGGTTATACATAAACTGTTGAATCCACTAAAAATAAGGGAAGGTTCTAGTGTAGTGGCAAATGGGGTTCAAACATTGCTTTAAGTCATAGGTTCAAGTCCTATGTTTAACACTCATGTTTTTCTCAATAACCGAGGTGCCCGGGCCAATCGGCACCTCAACTAATTCCACAAGGTACCTGCTATCACATACTCTATCCACCAAGGCTTGAACATATAGGATGAACCCTGGAAATTTAAACTAACACTCAAGTATTTTTTTTGAATCCCCTTATATAAATTCCTAGCTCCACACTGAGGCTATTTCATTAAACGAAACAAACATATGTACAAAGAGATTAACATAGCTAGTTACATAAAAAATACAGCAAATGAGCAGATGCCAGATCTCTTTTCAGAAACTTAGTAACTACTATCTAACACTATTAATCCAATCAACTAATATTAAACAGAGAAAAGTTACATGGTCAAATCAGTATCTCCTTTTGTGTGTGTGTGTGAGAGAGAGAGAGAAAGAGAGAGCGCGGGAGGTACCTGCTTGTTGACCTCAACACCAACGGCGCGTTTGGTGACATTCCAAACACGACCAGTGCGACCATGGTAGAACTTGTGTGGCATTCCTTTGTGGATGGCGCCGTTTACCTTAATATCAACATAATCTCCAATTTTGAAAATCCTCAAGTAGGTGGAAAGTGGGATGGTACCCTTCTTTCTGAATGCGCGAGAGAATGAATCTCTCGTACGAGACCTCAATCCGTGACCTGCCGGCATTTTCTTCCTCTGCTTCGAAATGCGCTGCTGCTGGTGCTTGTGAAAAAGAGAGAGCTAACTGAAACCCTAACNCGAGAGAATGAATCTCTCGTACGAGACCTCAATCCGTGACCTGCCGGCATTTTCTTCCTCTGCTCTCGAAATGCGCTGCGATTGCTTGTGGAAAAGAGAGAGCTAACTGAAACCCTAATANTATATATATATATATTAATAAATAATATAAATATTTTATACATAATTAATATATATTTAGCAAGCAAATATAATTATTTTTGGTCGACTGGTCAAATGTGTAACTTGCCCTACTTTTATGGGTGAGTGATAGAAATAAGGACATTTCAGTGCCACTATTGATTTTTCGACTCTACTTGTCCCATGGGCAGAATTTTAAGTTTAACAAGTATTATCCCTCGCTTGTTCCATGGTGGAATATTTTTAACTTTTGACCTTAAAGATTTGCTCACGGGCAAATGAGGATCAAAAAATTAAGACCATCTATTTTCAAGGTCAATGAATGTAATTTTCTGTAGTTTTATTCGATGGCCTAAATTTAGTGTAAAAATGGCGCGACTGACCACTTTTGTATACGACTTTTAATATTTAGCCACCATTTGAAATAAAATTAAGAAATACTCACTTTACAATGTGAAGATAAAGTTTAGACAAAAATACCTAGCTAAAACATGAAAAACCTCAAGCATAATATGCTGAAGTTACAGATAAAATTTTAGCATATTATGCTTGAGCGCGAAACTTCCCTATATGTGAAACTCCAACGCTCCGTGCTTTATACTAATCACAGAAATTCGGAGTCACAAGTACACGAGTGACTGGAATATTAGAAATATAGTCTGAAATAAAATACAATTATTCAAAATAAGATAGAAGGGGACTTTAGGGATTGCGAATGCAACACATCTCTACCTCAAGTCTCATGGATAGATCTGATCCGAGTAATCTCCTCTATCCGCCTCTAGGACCAACACCGGGATCTACACAACAAATATAGAAGTATAGTATGAGTACAACTGACCCCATGTACTCCGTAAGTGCCGAGTCTAACCTCAACGAAGTAGTGATGAAGCTATGACAAGACACTCACTATAAACCTGTACGAATAATAAATAGAAAACAACATAAAATACTTTGAAATATATGTATTTCAAAGTATTTTAGTCGTTAATTATTAATATTCTGCTTTTAAATTGTTATATTGGTTGATTCTTTAGCTAATGTTGGTTTGCCTAGCAATGGATGTTAGGCGTTATCACGACCCCATGGTTGGGATTTCGGGTCGTGACGAGTTTGTATTAGAGAACTAGGTTGCCTAGGTCTCACGAGTCATGAGCAGGCTTAGTAGAGTCTTTAGGATCGGTACAGGGACGTCTGTACTTATTTTCTAGAGGCTATAAGGCTTTAGAAAATTTTACTTTCTTTCTTTCTCTATCGTTCAACTTTATTCTATCGCTGAGTTTGAATAATTCTACTCTTATTCTCTCACAGATGGTGAGAACACGAGTTTCGTCTGCAGCAGATTAGGAGCCGGAGCCCCTGGTTGCAGCCATTACCAGGGGTAGGGGCCAGGGCCGAGGTAGAGCCAGAGGCAGAGGTAGAGCTCAGCCTAGAGCACACGCAACAACACCTGTTGTTGGGCCTCAGATCGAGCAGGAGGAGGAGATCCCTATTCTAACCATGCCAGTTGGATCAGCTCGGGTCCTAGAGGGGTTTATTGCTACCCCCATGCTTCAGGATGCCCTGGTCCGTCTGGTGGGTCTTATGGAGAGTGTGACCTAGGTCGGTGCATTCCATATGGCACCAATCATCTCTCAGGCTGGGGGAGGATATCAGATCCTCACTATTTACACTCTAGAGCAGATGGCTCACGAGTATCAAACCCCAAAAGTTCTACCAGTTAGGGCAGTTCATTGTGTTGTTGCTACACAGCCTGAGGAAAGGCCCGCGATGTCAGCTGAGGAACTGCATAGGTTGGACAAGTTTACCAAGTTGTTTCCCCCTCAGTTTAGTAGTTCACCTTCTAAGGACCCCTAAGATTTCTTAGACTGTTGCCAGGAGATATTGCGCAACATGTGTATAGTGGAGACCAATGGAGTTGATTTCATAGTATTTCAGATAACTGGTTCTGCCAAGAAGTGGTGGCAGGAGTTTGTTCGGGGCAGGCCAGCAGGTTCACCTCCTCCCACTTTTTTTTAAAGAAACTATACTACTAGGTTGTTCACCTAGTAGCCGATATATATATAATAAATCCCAAACTGGGTCAAAGGTTCAAAATATACAAGTACTGGAAATAAAAAAAAAAGACAAAAACAAAAATGATGGCTATTGCTACCAAATACATTGAAACAATAGCAGAATGAGAAATTGAAATTACAAATCCACTAATTTGAGACATCCTAATGTTGCTGACAACAGTGAACTCATATACCAATTGCAAACAATTCCATGTAGCACCCACAAAACTCTCACCAGGCACCATTTTTTGCAATCCGGAGGAGTAGGTATGTATAAATCTACAAGTAGCGTAGCATATCGAATATCGTGTTTTTGGAGTGGGAGAACTGGTACTCCGGCATCAATGTTGGTCTAGATAAAAGAAGAATGAGCTTCCATTGCGTGAGACAAATGTTTGGAGCGGTTAATTTCCAACGACCAAACATGTAAGCCCAACTGAATGCCCATAAGCCAGAAGAAGCATAGAAGTTTTGATGTTCTTGCCTATATGGTGATATATCATTCCCAGAATGAGCATCAGAAAATGCTAATACTACTAGGAAATGAAATACCTCCACACAGTAAAAAAACTGTCCAAATCTGTCTACCCGTAAATCTGATATTAAACACAGATGTCCTTTGAGGATTTTCTTGACCTGTGATAATATGCTAATATTGACAGTTCTGGCACCCCAGGACTGACTGCCTGAAGGAATGAGTGTGATACCAAGATAATATCCCCCGATAATGACCAGACAATACACTGCTTGTATTTATGTCGATGTCTTCTGTAATCCACTGAGCCATAAGAAGAGTGACTAGCGCAACATTTGGAATATCTGAATTTGGAGCAGGCCATAAGATGTTGATTTCTTGAGACTGAAGAATTCCTCTCCTTGCCTTTATAATGTTTGATTGTTTTACTGTTGTTGTAATGTTTGTAATAACCCTCAGTAGATGCGTACAATTCTAATATCATCAGAGTGGAGGCATTCTCTTTGCAACCCTTATCATAAGGTTAGGAACATGAGCTTTGTCTAGATCGAGCAACCTCCTACCTGCACTTGATAACTCATTGAATGGGTTAATTGTCATTGTACCTGCAGAAGAAAAAGCTAGGTTAGTTAAATAATCTGCCAATGTATTGCCCTCCCTCAGAACATGTTGGAAAATCACATTGAAATGGTCTTTCATCCCCTTGATCCTTTTCACCTCCTTTCGTATACACTATGGTGTTTCCCATTCACCTTCTATTATCCTTTTCATAACTAGGGAATCAGTCTCAATTATAAGTGGAAGAATTTTGTGGTTAACACAAAATTCCAGTGCTTCTGTAATTGCTTTGGCTTCTGCAACAATATTTGTGGTGTTAGCTATCATTTCTGCCTTAGCAAAAACCAAGTCTCCTCTGAAATTCCTCACATAAAAACCGTAGGAGCTTTGCCCAGGATTTCCTCTTGAGGCCCAATCTGTATTGCATTTGAACCAGCCTTCATATGGTGAATGCCATGCAACTCGCTTGGACACCACATATGATTTGTATTCTTCAAAATATATAATCATTTTTGGCCATAGAAATGGTATGTTTGTCAACCATGGATATCTAACCTTTGCTAGATTGTGCAATGTCTTGTTAACCTCATGAATCACCCTATTGCATGATGCTGTTCATCCATATTTTATGGTTTTTCTCCGCTTCCAAAGCTCCCAGGTTATCACTGTTGGTGCTACCTGGAACATGGGCTTCAACTTTGGACAGCAGACTAAATTCCACCAAGTTCTTATTAGTTGATGAATCTGTACTAGATTGCCTACTATTCCTGCTGCCTGCCTAAAGGATTTCCACACTTTGTTTACTGTTGAGCTAGTCAGGAATAAATGTTGTAGAGTATCTATTTAAGGTTGCACGCAGCCCCAACATTTTTACACCGCCATGTATCCATTCCTTCTCCACATATCATCTGTTGGTATTTTGCCTTTCCATAATCTCCAAAGGAAGAAAGATATCTTGAAAGGTAATCCCTTAGTCCATAGTTTCTTATATTCAGGATTTTTGGGTGCTATGTGCCTCATTAATTGCCATGTAGTAGTCACTGATAATTTCCCTGATGTTGTGGGCATCCATTTAGGTGAGTCCTAAGTTTCACAATTGTCTTCATAGTGTAGTTCCTGCCTAATATGTTCTGTAATGTCTGTTGGAAAAGTTTGGTCAAGCAGATTTTGATTCCAATCATTTCCTTCCCTCAACTCAGCCACTTCCTGAATGCTTTCATTGATGACAAATTCTGGTGGAACAACATGATATAATGCACCTAGGCCTGTCTAATTTTCATGCCATATGTTGGTTGTTCCTGTGTTCATCTCCCATAAGATTTTATGTTTCACTTCTTCCCTTGCCTCCAACATCTTTCTCCAAACGAGTGACCCCCCCTGAACTGGACAGTAGTGGGAAGTTCTTTTTTGCAGTATTTATTCCGTATAAAATTTGGCCATAGTGATTTTATGGCCATGAACTTTCACCATAGTTTGCCAAATAGTGCCTTGGAAACATCAAACAGAGATCTGAAGCCCAGGCCACCTTCCTCCTTTGGTAAGAACAAATTCTGCCACTTACTCCAATGCCTGCTTCTTTCTTCATCTTTGTTGTTCCAGAAGAACCTTGCAAATGTTTTATGTAAATGCTCCAGAATGTTGTTTGGTAGATCAAGCACTAATAGTATGTGAGTAGGCATACTTTGTAGAACACTTGTGATTAGAGTTGCCTTGCCCCCATATGACAGTAGTTTACCCTTCCATGAATGCAATTGAGCCTTGACCTTTTCAATAAGTTCATTATAGTATTCCTTTTTTTTCTTTTGTAGAAAATTGGACATCCCATATATGTGAAAGGAAATTCACCTTTTGAAAAGCCAGTGAGGGTTCCTACTGTGCCAAACAATGTTCCAACAGCATTTGCATGCATATAGTATGATGTTTTTGACTTGTTAATCAGTTGGCCAGAAGTGTGCTCATATCTGGTCAGGACCTCCATAATCTTTTGTATAGAGTAATGATCAGCAGAAGCAAAGATTATAATGTCATCAGCATGGGATAAGTGGTTCAGAGGGCCGGTCCACTTAGGCATGCCGTATCCTTTAAAGCTCTTGTCCTCAAATAATTTATTCAAGGATCTAGATAATACCTCTGCTGAAAGTATGAATTGGGCTGGAGATAATGGATCACCTTGTTTAACTCCTCTTGTTGAGTGGAAAAAGTTTGAAGCTTGACCATTAATCAGAATTGAATACCAGTTATTGGATAGTAGATTCCAAACCATGTTGATGAAGCATTCTGCAAATCCCATTTTTCTCAGCACATGCATCAAATATTTCTAGGACACCCTATCGTATGCCTTTTCCATGTCAAGTTTTATGACAACATTAGCAGGCTTACCCCTGAGTCTAAAGTCATTAATAATTTCCTGAGTTAACAAGATGTTTTCAAAAATACTTCTCCCCTTAACAAAGCCTGGCTGATTGGATGAGACCAGAAGAGGCAAAATCTTTTCCAGCTTATCATGGACTACTCTGGAGAAGACATTGTTTATGAAGTTGCTCAAACTTATAGGTCTCAGATCTGAAAATGTTTGGACATTTCTTTTTCTGGGCAGCAATACAAGGTTTGTGTAAGTTTTGGATTTAGGTAAAGAGCTTCCCCCATAAAACAACTTGAGCATATTGTGTATATCTTCACCTACTATATCCCAGCACACTTGGAAACAAATGCTAGCGAAGCTATTAGGGCCACTTGCACTTTCACCACCTAAAGCAAAAGCTGCTGCTTTGACCTCCTCTCTTGTTGGAATTCTACAGAGCTCTAAGTTCTGCTCATCAGATATCATTGTAGGAACATTGTCAAGAAGTTCAAAGTTTGTAGGCTCATCTTGTTGGGTGAACTGCTTCTAGAAAAATTCAAGTGCAGCAACAACCATAGTGTCTTGGGTGTCTATCCATGTTCCCTCATTATTATGAATCCCTTTCAATTGGAGTTTCTGCCTTTTACCATTAACATGGTTATGGAAAAATCTGGTATTTCTGTCCCCTTCTGCAAACCAAGTCATTCCTGCCTTTTGTTCCATAACTATTCTTCAATGCTCAAATATCTCTTCAACTCAGCTTGAGCCTTTTGAAGTACAACTCTATTCTTAACTGTAATATTGTCTTCAAATAACATTCCTTCACTCTGACTACATCCTCCCTCAAAGCTAGTTGTTTGAAGATGTCCCCATAAGTGAGCTTGCTCCATGCAAAGAGAGCTGTCTTAACTTTTTTAGTTTCTGTTTGAACATCAAGAAGGGATATGTTGTGCAATCAGCCTTCCAATTCTATCTAACTATCTCCAGAAATGATTGATGTTTTGTCCAGAAGTTCAAAAATCTGAATGGTTTGGCAAATTGTAAAGTCTGATCCCTACAGCACATCAGGAGGGGCGCATGATCTGAGTTTGTTCTAATTAGATGCTCTACTTCTGTGATGGGAAAAAAGGTCTGGAATTGCATATTGACAAGAATTTTGTCCAATCGTTTGAATATGCATTCTGCATTTGGTCTGCCATTCCACCAAGTGAATGGGCTGCCTTTGTAACCATTATCAAACAGGCCACATGAGTTTATACAGAAGGCAAAATCTTCATACTCTGGGGTGTAAACTGGAAGGCCTCCAATTTTCTCTTCTTCATTAAGAATAACATTAAAATCCCCTCCAACCACCCAAGGTAACTCAATATCTCTAGCTAGGTAGTAGAGATTATCCCATAATTCTAATCTATCCAGTGATGAACACTTTGCATATACAAAAGTCATCATGATGTACTTGCCAAAGTCTTGATAATATATCCTGATAGTGAGTTGATGCTCAGTGTCAATTAACAAATCCCACTGGACAACAACATCTAGAAATAGCCAGATTTTGCCATTGGCATTTGAAATTGCTGCTTCTATGCCCAGTCTCCTCCTATAGTTCTGAATAAACCTTTGCTTTTGGAAGGGTTCCATGAGTGCAATGATGAATGAACCATATTCCTTTTGCATGTTGATAACTCTCTAAAAGGCCTGTTGGGTTTTAACAAACCTTATGTTCCATATGAGTGTTTTAGTCATCGTCTGGTTGTGGAGGCTGCCCTCTTGGGCAGAATTCTTATTGGTGGGTGCTGATCCATTGGTGGTGCTTGCTTTTTTCCTTTCATTCCATTCCTACCTGAGATCCTTGGTGACAAATCTCCTTTCCTGGCGATAACTTTGAAGTTCCCAGCAGTCGATTCATCATTGCCTTTATCTTGAAGTTGCTCTATAGGGTCCCCAACATTATGAATTTCCATAGGTAGTTCCTTGTGTGTAATAATCTCATGCATTAGCCGATTAAGGGATTTCAGTGGAACGTTGATTTGAATCTGCATTTGAGGGCCAGTAGCTGATGCACATGCTATAGGTACTTGCTGAATTGTACCTAACTCTCTGGGAACTATACCTGACCCCATCTGGTCATACAATATCATTTGAGCTTTTCCACCAGTACTTTGGGAGTCTGTCCTCATTGTATCCTGAGACTTCTCTGCTTCAACAATAGTAGTATGATCCCTAGGTAAAACTCGTACCATATCACTATCAACATAGGATAAAACCTCGACAATTGTAAATTTGTTGGATGCATTCATGGCTGCCTCTTCATTTAACTATTCTAGCATTGTTTTTTCTTGTTGTTCAGTTGGTATTATTCTTGTATTTGCCTCTGAACTGTACCCATGCTATTGCACTTCATTATTCCCCTGATGTGTAGAGTACGTATTGTGTTCATTGGAAATAGGAGATTCCACAAATGTCTGAGATGGTATTTCATGGCATGAGTGATTTAGGGTAACATTAAGAACCTCTTTGTGCTTTCCAAAGCTCCTTTGAACCCAATTAATTATCTTCTCATTTGTTGCAGCTTCAATATTCCTAGTAGTACTAGGACCAGGGCTCTTAGTTATCCCAGGATCTTTAGGATTGGAGCTGGTGTTTTCTAAAGTCCTATCATATTGGCTCTATTTATTCCTGTTAATGTTCAGCTTGTGATGCATCGGATGTGTAGAATTGGTGTTGGCATTGGTTTTGCTGATTGATTCGTGAATAACTTTGCTCCCCATTTTAGCTGTTGGAGTTATCTATAGGCATTGTTTATTGGCAGCATTAGGGAGTAACTTATCTATTCTGAGAATAGTATGTGCAGAAGCACTCTCATGCAAGTTCGAACAAAAATCTACCCCTATTGGATCCCCTGACTGATTAGGGGTTTCTTGATTATTCATCTTTCCTGAAATTGTTGCAGCATCGGTAATAACATGATTGTTAATGGGATTTGACACTATCTCCCCACCGATTGGTTAGAAGTGTGTGATTTAGGAACTGGGGCGGTGTTCTGGACTGGCCTGGCCGATTGTGCTTCAGCTAGTAGTTCAGTAGGTTGCTTGGGTTTCTGTTTCTTGCTTCTTTGGTTGATACCTCTGAAATTCTTCTTCTTTTGAGAGTGCCATTGATCATTGGCTTGGTTTTCCTTTTTTGGTTGTTATGTAGTTGCCTTGTGTGCTGTTTTTCCTTGTTGTTCCTCCCTTGTGTTTTGCTCCACCATTTTCTGGTTGTGATTCTGATATTTGTTCTGGTCCTGTACCATCTGTAACTGTTGAATGTAAGTTCCATTTGATCTTTCTAGTTTGTTTGCAAGGGGGGTGACATTATTCTAAGAAGTTTCTATTGCTTCTTTCTTCTTTTCTTGTTCTTCTCCTTTTCTAATAGAGCAGGAGTATTCTTCATGGCCCAGGTGCCTGCAGTGTGAATAGTAGTATGGTAGATCTTCATATACAACTTCCAGGCAATGACCATCTCCATTAACATCCTGATCTTTATCAAAGCCAAGCCAAACATGATGAGGTCCAGATTGAGTCAAATCTATCTGCATTTTTACTTTTGCTATACTTTCTCTTGTTGTTTACATAGATGCAAGGTCAAGATGTAGGACCTTACCTACAGGTGATAGTAATACTGATAGGACGTTACCTACAATGATTATCCAAATGGGGATAATAGGATTATCCTCATTAGGATTGAAATTGGGTGTCCAAGCTTCCAATTCCATTCTTTGACCCTGGATGTATATGAACGTTTTTGCCCATACAGTGGTGTGATCATACTCATTGTCTAGATCGATGTACACAGTTCTTGCATTGAAATGAGCCATTTTAACTCCTTATCTGAGTGTTGTTTGTGCTATGAAGCTTCTCTTTATCTATTCCATTCTAGGCTTGGTGTTCTGAAATTTGCCAACAATTGTGTACTGGCATTTGTTAGCTAGTGTGATCATGTAATCTGTCCTGGTGAAGATAACAGATGGCTGGCCTTGTTTTGTAGTGATTCTGGGAGGAGTGAACTCTATTGGAGCTATCTATGCAGCTTGCCTATCTCTCAACTTTGTAGCTAGTGATTGAGTGATAGTAGGAGGGGAGGGGGAGGGGGGCAGGGTAGTTAATTGGTTTATTTAGCTGGACAGTCATAGATATAGGATTGGGAGGGGTATCTGTATTAGTGTGTCGAGATTAGTTATTTTGGTTAAAAGTAGATGATGGTTTAAAGGGGGCAGGGTGTTTTGGGTGATCTAAATCGTCGGTGTGTTTTGTGTTTGTGAGTGTAATTGGTGCTAAGGTTCCTTCTATTTGTGCTTTGGCTTGAGTGGTAGTGTCTTTTGGCAGTGGGTTAGGATTGGCGGTGTTCTGGTGTTGGCGTGTAACTAATAGGTGATTCTGAGTAGTGGGAGGTCTGTCAAAGTTAGTTGAGAATTTAGGGAACTTTGATGGTGTTGGTTGCTGAGTGAGGTGAGGCTGTGATGTGGCTATTACATTCCTATTTAAAGCGTGATTTGTGGTGGGAAAATGAGCTACAGAGGCAGTACCTGGATGTGCTAATTTTGTTGATGAAGGTACTGGATGCAGTTGGTAAGTAGAATTTGGTTCCAATGCCTTCTCCTTACCGGCAGGGAGCTGGTCGATTGATGTCGGACCAGTGAAACTCAGGTCGTTCATCAGTGCAGGATAAGGGTCAGCAAATGGGCAAGCAAAATTATTCTGAACATGCGAGTGAAATTGGACATTCCGGAGATTCTACACAATATGCATTGAAAGTTTTCCATCCAATTGTATGTCAATTGCATCGGTGGAACTGGATGTGGCATTTTGTCGAACAATTTTGGGGGTGGAATTTGTAGGTAAAGTGGTTTTGATAGTTGGGGGAGTTGTGTCCATGAAGTGTTGATTTGCACCCTCAGATATATTTTCTAAGTGTGCAAAACCTATTTTCCCATGGTTTTGACCAGTGGGGTTACCTTCTTCATCTGTTTCAGCAGCTTTGAGGTCACGACTGAGTTGGGAATGGATGAAGCTCTCAACTCCCTTAGTCGAAAGCTATAAGGTTTGGTTAGGAGGAAGTGTTTGAAGTGGAGAAGGGAACTCACTTCTTTGCGTTTGTCGAATTGGCCCAGAGCTGGTCTGAGCATCGTTTGGAGATTCCAGTTGCTGAGTCGCTACAGAGAATCCATCACCTTTTTGTACTTCTATAGCCGGTCATTTGAAATTTTAGGATGAAACCAACAGGGGGTTTTTCGTTTTGTTACTGGGGCAAGTTGAGACAAATATGGAGGTATTCCAACGCCTAATGGCGGATTTGTGCCCATTCCAGTGAGAATGAGAGGTAGCGCCGGAAATTGCCTATTCTAGAGAGCGTTTACTTGTCTTTTTTGGTTTTTTTTAAGTATGACTATTGACTAGGCGCTAAGCCAACATATTTTTAGCAACTTGAGCCACCTCCTCCCACTTGGGCTCAGTTCTGACAATTAATTTTGGAGAAGTTCATTGCCTTTACTCAGAGAGAGGACTTTAGCAGCCAGTTTGAGTGCCTTCAACAAGGTAGCATGACCGTCACGTAGTATGAGACCACGTTCGTGGACTTATCACGCCATGCATCTATCTTGATCCCTACTAAGAGGGAGAGGGAGCGGATGTTCATAGATGGACTTACTTACGGCATCAAGCTACAGATGGCTAGAGAGACCGAGGATGATATTTCTTTTACTCGGGTTATGGAGATCACTAGGCAGATCGAGAGGATTCGTGGCTAGGGTAGAGAGGCAACATTTGAGAAGAGGCCTCATCATTTTGATGGTTTTAGTGGTGCCTCTTTTGGAGGCAGGAGTTTTGGTAGAGGCCATCCTATCAGGCCGGTTCAATTAGCACTTCAGGTATCCCATGGTCCTTTAGGTGGTCACGTTGCGTATGGGTCTCATTCCGAGTAGCAGGTATTCAGTGCAACTTTAGCTTTTATCAGTGCACCACCGCTATAAAGTTACTACAATGGTCATTCGGGTCATCAGGGATCGTCTCAAACTCAATAGTTATGCCAGCCGAGGGGTTGCTTTGAGTGTGGTGACACAAGTTATATCAGGAGGTACTGTCCTAGATTGAGGAGCAGCATGCCATATCAGGGGTACTCGTGCCATGATTCCGGCATCGGTTGCTTCATTGCCCGCTCAACCAGCTAGAGGTGAGTAGGGGTGTTCGTCGATCGATATGGTACGGTATTTAGACATTTCAGTTTGGTATTTTCAGTATTCGGTTTCTTAAAATGCTATACCAATACCGTACCTAATTAAATTCGGTATGGTTTGGTTTTTCTCCTATCAGTTTCGGTTTATTTGGCTCAGTAACTTCGGTTTATTCGATTTGAATACTAACAAGTGCATAGCGTCATAGACTATATTCTTAATTAAAGTACCCAAAAGTACAAAACTAAAAACGTTTGTTGACAAAAGTTTTGTCCAAAACTAGCAAATATCAACCTAGAGAGAGAAAACTGTATATAAAGGAATTAATTTAATCAATAGAAATGTCTTCTTACTTGCTTAGAGTTAATTGATGAACTTAGAGAATAAAAGAGAGTAAAATTTTAGTTTTTTTTATATTTATATTATAATTAATAATATGTGTTTTGTGTAATATAATATATATTTC